GGTGGGGGCAGTGGGGGAGGTGGAAGCAGTGGGGGTGGTGGGGGCAGTGGGGGTGGATCTGGAGGATCCAGTGGAACAGCTTTGAAGACCTATCCAATCAAAATCAACGTGAAGAACCAGCCGGACCCCCCACATTTTGATTCAGTTGCCAAAGCTATTCCAGTAACACGAAACCAGCCCTTCAGCATTAATAACATTGTTGCCCGTTATCCTGCAATAGATGGAGACACTGGGAATCCAGCAAAGAATGTTACGTAAGTATATACACTAACAAAATTAAGCCTCATCTTTGCTCATTGACTCATCTAGTTATTTCTTTATATGCGGTGTAGGTATCTGAAAGCCAACGACCCCCTCAACTGGCTTAGCATTGACCCCCAGACAGCTGAGATCAAACTGACCAAGGACCCTTATAGCGACCCGTCTACACGCCGTCTGGTCAATGGGACATATTTTGCTGAAATACTCTGCATCACAGACGGTACAGTTTTATTATTTAAGGTTTGATATATTTAGACACAGCAGAAAAAGTTTAAATTGGTCAATAAACTGAGGTTAAGGTACTTGTTAATCAAATCAACCCACTATGAGTGAGGAGAGACATTTGGCAAAGGTCAGCAGGGCTGGGACTCTGCCTCCCCACCACAGCAGCATCCACAGTTCATTTTTACATCTATTAATGCTGCTAAGTTTATCCTTTTAAAGCTTAGCTAACCTGTAAAATCATTTAAAAGATAATCCTGTAACAGTGTCAGGAGCACTGGAGTTACATAGTACTGGCATTATGGAATGTGTTAGTTTGGCTTGAACAAACACTCAGAGGAGAGGCGATGGTGCAGAGCCACTGATTCAAAGACAGCGTTGCTAAAAAAAACAACAACACTTAAGATCAAAGGCTGACTGTTTGTGTAATTTGCTCATTATGTGCAGAAACTAAGACTTTTAATACGTAGGTTATAAACATCTCTGATCCAAAAAACACATCTGCTCTTTGCTGTCTGTCAAATTGCATCAAGAGTTTAATCTTTAAGCTTTATGTACATATTTCATTTTTTCAGTTGAAGGCAGTCGCTGGGAAATAATGTTCTATAACATCTAATTTGATGTATTAACAAAAAAATAAATAAAAATACAATCAAATCTAGGTGAATATTTTCAGGGTTAGACCTTCAGAGATGAAAACTGGTCTCAACCTTTATCTTTTCCAACCTTGGATCTTTTTGTCTTGATCTTGTTTTTTCATCAAGGCTGTTTTTGACTTTGCAGTTTTGTAAAACAATGTAGAGTAAAAAAAGTAAAATAATACTAATAGTATCTCCCTTGGTCTACACCTGCACCTGCTCTACACCAGTGGTCTCCAACCCTGGTCCTCAAGATCTACTGTCCTACAGATTTTAGATGCATCCCTGCTTTAACAGAGCTTAATTAAATGAATGGCTTGAAAAGGTAATCAATCATTTGATTCAGCTGTGTTGAAGCAGGGATGCATCTAGAATCTGTAGGACAGTAGATCTTGAGGACCAGGGTTGGAGACCACTGCTCTACACCCTGTGTAGGTTGCTTTAGCCGTCTATGTGCTCCGGTGGACCTGTAGAAGGCATTTGATGGTGGCCGTTGAGTTTCCCTGTGGGGTGCGCTCCAGGAGTCAGGAGCTCTTTACTGAAGGGCACACAATCTTTGTAGAAGTGGAGAAGGAGTTTGGTTGGAATCACCGGCATTAAGTTGGACCGGCCCTGCTCCCAGTGCATGTTGGACTCAAGCAGTGCTTGATGAACAGGATTTCTAGTTGAGCCAAGGGCCGGAGGGAGTCTGGTTTGGGGACCAGAGGATTCATCATTGCTTATTGCAGATAACGTGGTTTCGCTGGTTCCCACCTGCCAAGACCCACAGCATTCACTGGGGAAATTGATAAGGAGCTGGGATAAAGATCAGCTTCGCCAAGTTCGAGGCCGTGGTTCTTCACTGAAAAAGTTGGTTTTCCCTCTTCAGGTTGGGGAGGTCCTGCTTCAAGGCGAGGAGTTCAAGTATCTTGGGTTCCTGTTCATGATTAGAGGTTGAGGTTGATTCCACCTTTATGGGGATGCTTTGGGGCTAGTGGGGGCGGTGGGGCTAGTGGGGCTA